CTGGTATATGACTCATATCTAACATACTAAGCTATAGAGGCCCGACTCCAAATTCCTGGTATATGAGTCATATCTAACATACTAAACTATAGAGGCCTGTTGTTAAGGATTCAAAGGATCCACATGATTGACATAAGTACGACCGTGTTAAGGATCCAAAAGATCAAACTTGCATTGCCTTGCATGTTGCATATCTGCATTTAATGGTCATATTTTAAAATAAAATTAAATAAATTTATCTTTCTACTTATGATTTATACCCTAATTTTAAATTTATGCAAATATCACACTAGGTCATATGTGAGGCCAACTTCTTTTAAAATCCATCTTAAGCGATGTTTGTTAGATCTCTTGGATCCTTAAGATGGGGTCAGAATTGGCGGCTGATGCGGCGGTCGTTTTTGTGATGTACGTTGTAAATATCTTTCAATATTACAATACACACACGACAAAACTAATAGTAAATATGTAGTTCAATCCCTATAAAAATAAATTCAGTATAAATAATTTCATCTTTTAAAATCTCTAAGCTGTCAAATCTCGTAATAATAATACAAGTATACATATCGCTCAAGTAATAAAGTGCTCTAATGAAGTCATAAGTATCGATCCTATAGAGAGTTGGAAATTCTTATGGTTATAACATCAAACACAATATTCAAACTATAAACCTTAAGTAAGCAAAACAAATCTAAAGTAAATTTAATGTGCGTTAAATGAAATACAGTTAAAAAAACTAAGTTAACTAAATAATTGTTAAACTTCAAAAATAAACTTATAAAGACTAAATAAAGTTTTGAAATGAAGAGTTCAAATTTAAAAAAAACATCCTTCGCCTTTACAATGAGTTTATGAAGTGTGAAGAAATTAAAATCAATTAAAATACATATAAAATTGTATTGTGCCAAATAAGAGCAATCCTATTATTTACCCTCTGAGAGTGCATAAAGAACATTGACTAATCCAGAGTTTGGTCCTTAAATCCGTGATTAGGTTGAGAGGATACTGGCTACCACTCCAGGGCTCTCACTTTTTTCTCGCCTGAAGGCTAACAATCTTGCTTTAGTTTCCAATCAACTGGACCAAATTGGAGATTTTAATCCGTCACCTTAAAATCTTCAATTATGTGCCCATCAAAATATATTTCTCTATTTATTCGCACGCAACCCCATTGATTACATTCTCACCCATTAAATTGAATGTGACTCTTACCTTGTTCTAGAAAGCATAGCCCTTTCAGATCGTATGTTTCTCAACAAAGTTTATCCTTTAAATTGGCAAGATCGAAAAGTAAATGAATATCAAAGTTTGAATCATCACAATTTATTGACATTTAAAACCTTACAAAATAAAACTAATTCTTCACAAAACCATATTTCATTATAGGGAGAACATAAAAAAGACAACTCAAAATCATGAAAAGGATAAGACAAAACACAAATTTGACATATAAAAACAAGTTTACAAAATAAAGAAAAAAAAAAGAACACAACTAATCTCACACTCATTCCCAAGCAAATCACTAGAAGTTCTCTTTAAAATCACACTCAGTTCTCTCTTAGAAGTGTAATGAAAAAAAAAATTTCTCACCTCTTCTCTCCTCTCACAACCCCAGAAGAAAATCCTCTCTTCTCCAAGACTTCTCTCACGCCAAAACTTTCATCTCTATCTCACGCTCCCCTTTTCTTCTCTAGACTCTTCTCCTTTTTTAGTTTGGGCCAGCCTTCCTTCCAAAGGAATTTAAATTTCCCTCTAATTTTTCTCCTAAAAGTCACATCTTTTAACACCGAAAGACAAGTCCCTTCATCCAAGAGACATATCTCTTCATTAAAGAGTCTTTGCAAAGTGTCTAAATGCATTGAACCACTCCAAGGGACGTTTGAATTGTTTGGAACCTTGAAAAACCGCTCAAAAATAATCACAAACCTCCTTACTTCGTCTTAATTAGTCTCTGACACTTATGGTGCCTCTGGCGCCAGCCAAATGAAGTCCGCGCTGTTCTCTGTATTATGGAACCTCTGGCGCCAATTCTAGCACTTCTGGCGCCGCTTCCTTGTAAAATGGGGCCGCTGGCGTCAGCTCTATGGAAAATGGTGCCTCTGGCGGCAGGATCATGAAAATCTCCATTTTGGCTCCAAATTTCCTCTGTTTTGCTACTTTTTGCTCCAAATGCATAAAATTGATATACCTACAATAAAACTATTAAAATATCATCATTTAAAGTGAAATATCACCAAAATAAACATAAAATGTATAAATAAAATAATACATTATTTTGATGTATCAGCAGCGCCGTCAAAGTCATACATACCAGAGATTTTACCCTGAGCACTTAGATGTTGGTTAGAACACTTTTCGTTAGATGATGTGCTAAGATAAGACTAGGATGCTAGGTAATATTTTTGATGTCTGACTATAGTTCTCTGCTGGTTTGGTTGCCCTAGCCAAACATCATTTTGCATGTGCTTTGTGTGTTTCCTGAGTGCGGAGATGCACAATTGTAAATTTGGGATGGTTTTCTTAGAGGGGGTCATGCCTAAACATATACACACAGGTTTAATTAGGGAGGAGCAAAGTCATGATTTTATACTAAAATTTTCTTGCATGCACTACTATAAGCTCCTAAAGTGAGGCACGACTTATATATGTTACATGAGATAACTCATGCTAACATTTTTTGCAGGTTGAGTCCTTTATTTTTCTATTACCATGTATTTGATAGGGTCCTAGGATTGAATTTATATCAAAAATAAGGTATGAGCACGAGTTTTGACCAGGAGCAGCGGCTAGTGTCTCGTTCCTTAATTATGAATTTTTATTCTTGTATAGAATTAAGACCAGAAATGTATGTGAAATTCAACTGTTTTTACTGCTTTCCTAGGAGATTTTGCGAACCCAACGACACCAGCCCATTCTTATATTTTGATTGGTTTGCCATGATTTTTCTTTTGTGACTGCTTTATTTTCGTGTTTCTTTCCGTTGGTTGTTTGTCTGGAATTGATCATGGAAAATAATATAGGCTTATTAAGGACCCTAAAATTCTAAATTTTGTACAAAATTTTAATTAAAAAAGATTAAGATTAATTAAAATTTAGGGCTAAAATATTCTGGATTTTTTGAAAAACTGCACCTTACTTTTCTGTATGGCCTTCGGACCGGATTTAAAATGGGTTGCACAACATGGATATCACTCAAGTCATTCTAATAGGACATTCATGCCATATGATTGTGGTAAAAAATTGCATAATACGCATATACACAAGGAGAAGTCCCCGTGGTTCTCTATACCTTCTTGGCCAAGCATAAATTTTTACCTAGGAGATTGTCTAACATGACTAGGGTGTTAGAGGAATCCTCAATTCGGATGGGGTATAGGTCCTTTGTGCATAGTGTTTCCTACTTTGTATATGAACCTACTTTCCGCTTCTTTCCAGTGGCAGCTCTGTCATTTTCTTGGCGAGTGTAAGCCTCATCTCTTTGAGCTTTACCTATTTAGGATCATAGGAACTAGAGTTTCCTTTCTTTGACTTTAGGGCTATTAAACTTTCTTGGACGATGTAATTCACGGATTGCTGACAAGAAGCCTCCGGTTGTCTTGGGCGACTACCTTCGCAATCAGGTAGACAAAAGGTCTACATAGCTTGGGATGACAAATCTGTGGTATTCTGATCTGATTACCTCTTTGTTTTTTGGGATCTTTTTCTTTATGTTGACGCCTCTTTTGAGCCCTGTTGATCCCTTTGACACATCGTTGACATCGTCTTGTGGGTCTCACATGCCTAGGCGTCGCCTATCGTAATGGTTACGATGCTTCGCCTTCTGCCCTATGGCTCGATATAGATGTCGAAAGTATCGAGATTTTCTCTTGAGATGATTTAAATCTATCGGTTTCCCAAATAACCATGTTTCATTAAATCATGTAAGCAAAATTTTTTTTATCGAAAGTTTTCTTGGGTATTCCCCAAGGTGTAATTAACCAAATGAATAAATTCCTTTAGAAGCTGACCTTGACCCAGAACAAGCATTTATACTTGATTCTCTGATCTTGGGTTGCTTTCATAAGGTCTTCTTCGTGGATATGTCTGCAAGGTATTTTCGATCCGATCTCATTTCGGACGTATGTTTTGGGGGCTATCCACACAAAGTTCACTTTACAAAAATTTTCCGCATTCATTCTCTCGTTTGTCTATTGTCCGTCATATATCCCTCCTTTCGGTCCCTCTCATCTTTGAATCATTCATTTTATCCGAGAGAGAGATTTACTCGAATAAGAGATTGATAAGACGATTACAAATAGAAAATCCAGCGATTTCTTAAAAAAGAGAGAAGTACAAAAACATCAACACAAATCACTTATTTAGCTCAATTTATAAACGAACCAATCAAGAACAAACTTTTCTTCGATAGTGTTCGACTCGTTTTAGCTCAAATTAATTATATAATTACATAAATAATATTATTATACTTTCTTATATCAAAATTTTATGTAGTTAAAAATGTTAAATTTTATTATTTTTTTAAATAAGTTGACTTAGCTTCGAGCCAACATAAACTGAAATTGAATTGAGCTGTACGCAAACAATATATTCACGAGCCAATTTTGAGGAAAAAAATTCAAATGAGCCGAACATAAACGAGCATTAAAAAATAACAAAAAATTTCTAAAAAGATTGTCCCAAACAAACCCTTAATAGATTTAGTCTTGATTAGGCTTATCTCTAAATAAAATTAAACTTTCAAATCACTTTTCTTCTTATGTATTTTATTCAACGTTGTGCCCACCACAATTTTTACAACCATTTGAAATCAAATTTATATAAATTATTCCAATTTAAAATTATCAATAATAAATTATATAATAAACATCACAAATCACCCCCTATAAATTGAGCTCCTGAATTTGTATATTAGCAGCTCTAAACAACAGCCAAACAACTGAAGCAAAGATATGAATCCTCTGAATCAACTTCTGTCAGCCGCTTTTGCAGAAGACGTAGAAATGGCACCAAAGGTAATTTTTTTCTTACAAAAATTCCTTTTTTTATAAATAAATTTAATTTACATCTTGATAAAATTTCAAAAAAATTCATAAAAATTAATTTTTTTTGCAGATTAGGAAGCCTTACATCATCAGCAAACAAAGAGAAAAGTGGACAGAAGATGAACATAAGAGATTTCTTGAAGCTCTGCAGCTCTACGGCAGAGCATGGCGCCTGATTGAAGGTATTTTTATAATTTTTTTTTATTTAAATATAAATTTCTTTAATTACTATTAATTGCGATATTATTTCAAATATGATTTTGAAAAATTTTCTTATTTTGCAGAACATATTGGAACAAAGACATCTGTGCAGATTCGAAGCCATGCTCAGAAGTTCTTCTCTAAGGTCAATTTTTCATAAATCATTCATTATTTACACATATATTACTATTAGAAATCAAAATGTGATAAAAACTCAATTTTTATTTCATATACATATATGCCACTAATGTATACTTATATATCTAACATTCATACATTAATTTTTACAAAGATGTCATTTTATTTAGGCATGAAAATGTAAATTTCACTTTTTGAGTGATATAAATGTAAAAAAAATAAAATTTAAGCTTATTTAGATATGTAAATACATATGAATTAAATGGGTGTGGATGTAAATGCCTCTTGAATATATTACATTCATGTAAATCTTAACAATGTTTCCTTCATAAAAAACGCCACTTTTGATTATCATTTTCTCATCAGTTTTTTTTAATCTCATGCAGGTGGAAAGAGGATCAAACAATAAAGTTCAGATTCCTCCCCCTCGTCCCAAAAGAAAATCAAGCCATCCCTACCCTCGCAAAAATCAATTTTTTGGGAAATTAAATGTATCTCCAACGCCAAAATTATTTGTCTCAGAAGAACAGAACGGATCACCAACGTCAGTTCTGTCTGCAACTTCATCTGAGCCGTTGAATCCATTCATTTTAAACAAACATAACAGGAGCACAGCTCCATTTGCATCAGCTGAAGGATCAAATGAAGAAGATAATGGAATTCAATCAGTAAGTACTCCCTAACCTCTATTACCATTACTAAGTTTCTGAGCTCTTAAATCAATAAATTAATCATTTTTATTGCAATAATGATTTGCAGGAATTGGATTTGAGCTCTGAGGATTCGAAAAAGGCATCAAGTTTGAAGCTTTTTGGCAGAACAGTAATGGTGGCTGATTCTGCAAGTTCGTCTGAAGGAAACTCAGCTCAGAAAGTTATTCAAAATGGGATTAATGGAGGTTTTCCATTGTCGTCTTCTGTGAATTCTTACGAAGAAGCAGTTAACTCGGCTGGAATGATTCCTATATTATGGTGGGGCTTATATTGGAATATGGCGTTTTTAGCTGAAAATAAAAATCTGAACTTTGATTACAGAGAATATTTAGATCAGATTAATGTGCAGAATGAGAGTTGTTATGCTGGTTATGGAAGAAGTGATTCGTTTGATTCTCAGAAAGATGAGTATGGTGAGGGGAGGAATGTAAGAGAGAATCTAGTTTGTAGAGATGAGAAAGTTGAGAGTGAGAGAAACTCTGGAAGGGGGTTTGTGCCTTACAGAAGGATGGAGGTTGAAGAGAATGTATAGCGGCCACAGATGTCTTTTGAGGCCACAATGTTGAGAATTATTAATTTTATGAGAATTTTACAAACATACCATAAAGTTCCTAGGTATTTACATATCCAACACCTAAAGCAAGATGTTTACATTTATGCCACTATGGTATGTAAATGTCCCTAATTTTAATTTTAATCAATTTTTTTTCGATTAGAATTTGAGTTTTTGTTTTCTTTTTATTTCTATTGTTTGTGATAATGAGATTTTTATTAGACTCTATGAAGCACGAATATGGATATGAACACGTCATGACATATCATAATTGTAAAAAGTAGGGCACGACACGGGCATGATGTCGATTTGGTTGTCGTGCTTCATAGATTAGATCTGTATGGGTGAGTCGATAAAAAAGCTAGTTGATTTTATGAATAATAGTGTACATCCTAAAGTGGTTTTCCTAAGCTGCAAGGAAGCCCAAATGTAAATGGGTCTTCGAGCCCATCAGATCAAGCCTTTTTTTAATATAACTATTATCGTGTACCTAGAGCCTATAACTGATAGATCATACTTGTCAACCACATCCATCGAAGTAATAGCTATAGGAATTACTTCTCAAGAGGACTTAGTGAGCTCCTCTGCCGAGCTCGCCTGTACTTATTGAGCTTTTCCGCTTAGCTCACCTGTATTCATCTAGCTTGTTCACTGAGCTTGCCTACATTTGTCAAGCTTTACGACAAGTTCATTTACAGATCCTTCAAGTTTACTTGAATGACTTAAAGAATGAGACTTTAACATATCACTATTTATGCCCATTTATGAATCGCCTAACACCGATTGTGATATATTTTTAACAAAAAAAAAAATCTCACATCTCAGATAGGCTTCATACAGTACGATTTATAATACGGGCAAGCAGATAAAAAAAATCAATAGTTGTAGTTGCTCCTTAGCATCTTACGAGCTCTCTTCCAGGTCTAAGACATGGTTTTGTAACTAAAATAACTAAACTTCTATGTGGATTACATGTCCTTTAGCCTCTGCCAATTGTCCTTCAACCTTTGTGAGTTCATCATTGGTATTTCAAAACTCTTCATGAGTCATAATCAACTCCTCTTTTAGGCCATTTCCATGCTTAAGAGGATCGACATTCTGACCAATCAGAAGGGATCGAGCTTTGTCACCAATATTCAATTTCCATCAAGGACTAGCATCTCACCCCTTGTTGATGATCTAGTGGGTATAATAAGCTCTACCCTAGCGACCTCTCCATCACCAGTATCAATACACTAAAGAGTAGGATCAATTATAGCCTGAGTTACTAAGAGCATTGGGTGACCACAATCAGGCATAAAAACTATTGGACTAAGTGTTCTCATATAAGTGATGTTGCCTTCTAGAGAGAGTTCTCCAGCAAGATCCTTAGGTGGCATCGTTGAAATGGGTTGATGGTCAATAGAAAACTCTATAAGAAAGCATAAAAAATTAAAATATATCATTAGTCACGGTAAAGCATGCCTGAAAGGAAAAGGCAGATATCTCATCACCTGCTTTAAGCTCTAGAAGCAACAACAAGCTCAATCCCTTCCAATAATTCAAAGGATTAAGATTCTGAACCTCAGTTTTGTTCTTTGGGTCGACGAGTATATGTTTCTCAAGAGCATGTCCATCATTTCTAATGTCGACTCATTCTCTGTAGAAACTTCATTCAGATTAGTCTCTAGGGTAGAGACTAGAGTCAGGAACCCCCCATAAAGCTACTATGAGGCTCTTCTATCTCAACATGCTTTGAACTCTCAATATGCTTGTCTCCCGTTCGTAAATCTTGATCTCTCATAGAATGACATTTCCTCTTTCGTTGACCAAGCATAACTAGCCTCAAATTGTCCTCTAAAAATGTTTAGTTTATCTTTACCAATCATTTGCTTCAAAGCAAGCCTAGAGAAACAAAGATCCTCAACAGGAACTAAGGAATGCAAAGGTGTGAAAATTATCTTCTACCACAATAAGACTCATGCAATGCTTACGTATCAAACAAGGAGTTAACATAAACCTATTTTTTCATAACCACAACAATTACTCTCACTATCATTAACCTCAATTTTATTTTTATAACAACATAATGACACATTAATAAATGCCAATAATGCCTCATGGATCCCATGTAAGATGATATGATGGCTATTCTTTGACAAAGGGAGAAGTCAATACCACAATATCCTCTATAATAGGGACGTTTCAAACTCTCTCCCCTTACATTGCACTTTCTAATTTCATTGGAGAATAAAAATTTTGGTGATTATAAGAGGTAGTACTTTCATTATCATCCAATAGCATATTTTCTATCCAGAGGCATCTCGACAATAAAAGATCCAACTACACACTATACAGCTCGTAACAACAAAATAAGCTACTTCCACCATCCAAAAAGCAATGGACCTAGATAAAAGTTAGTTCACATCTACTCAAAAGCCATTGCGACTACTCCCAACATGTGTAGTCAAAGTGTCCCCAGAGGAAGGAAAGTCGATGCTCAACATTAAGCCTTTGCGACTACTCCCTAAAGGAAGCCAACAAGGATTTGTGATTGTGGCAAACGCTTTTCCAATTGAATATAATTCGTTCTCTTGTCGGTCTCTGACCTAAGAGAATCAGAGGATTAAATGTATATCCTAAAGTGGCTTTCTAAGCTACCAATGAAGGTCATATACAAATAAGCCTTCTAGGTCTATTAGATATGACCTTTTTTGGATTGTGAACAATATCATGAACCTAGAGCTTTAGTTAATAAATCATACTCACCAGCAATATCCATCAAAGTGATAGCTACAAGGATTATTTCTCAAAAGGACTTGGTGAGCTCCACGGTGGAGCTCGCCTGTACTTATTTAGCTCTCCACCGAATTCGCTTGTATATATCAAGCTTGTCTATCGAGCTCACCTACATTTGTCTAGCTTCACTGCCAAATCCATTTACCGATCCTTCAAGGTTACCTGAATGCCTAAACAAAGGGGACTCTAACACATCACTGTCTATGCCCTTTTATGTGCTGCCAACATATCTCAAATAAGTTTTATACAGTGTGGCCTATAATATAACATTATTTCTCTCTCTCTCTTTTTTTTCTTTTTGTAGCCCTATTAGGGCAAGGACACCCTATGAGGCATATAAATAGGATGGTCCTTACTCCCATAACGGTGCAAGAAAAAAGAAGGGGACAGTAGAAGTAACACACACAAGTTGCAACTTTATCACTTTCTACCTTTTCCACACCATCTCATAACATCTTTTTCGATTTGTATGAATTCACGAACTATACAAAACCCTGCATCCCTAAAAAAATTAATAAATACTTATATGTACTTTTTATAATTATGATATGAAAATTAAGGAAATTATTATTTTTTTGTTACAATAAAGTAAGATTATGATGTGTTGTTGAGCTAGCAAAGTGGCCCAATATTTCCATAGAAAATAGACATAAGTTTAACATATTAGGCTTAATAAAACATATAAGGAAGATTTGCACGCATACCATTCAATTCCTACATATTTACGTATCCAACACTTAAGACTTCAATTTTATACATGCATGTCGTGTCATGCAAGAAAATATGCATTTAACTTTCTAAAAGTTAAAATAGTGATATTTTTGACGTGATATGAAAATCATAAATGATATAAACGTTCTAAAAGTTAAAATAGTGATATTTTTGACGTGATCTGAAAATCATAAATGATATAAACGTAAAAAAAAAAAAATAAAACCTATGTGTTATATATGTAGTTTTTCTAATAATTTTCAAGTAAGATTTGCATTCATACCACTCAATTCCTATGTATTTATATATCTAACACCTAAACTTCAATTTTTATATTGCCTACACATGAAAAAATGTATTTCACGGTTTAAAAGTTTAAATACTAATTTTTTCATGTGATATGAAAGATTTTAGTGGTATAAATATTAAAAACAAAATGTAGATGCTATATATGTAAATTCATAAGAATTTGAGTGGTACATATGTAAATGCCGCTATTATTGGTCACTAATTACAATCCCTTAACGGTAATTGACCTATCAAATACTAAAACATTAGAAATAAACCTCTATTCTTTCCAAAAAAGGCCAATTTGATTTCTCATTAGGCGCATTTACATATATACCACTACAAAATGTATAACCTAAACTTTCATATTTACATATATAATTATTCACTTTTCAGAAGTGAAATTACACTTTCATACATGAGTTTATAGCACAAAATAATATAAATAAAAGACAGAAATCAGCTTAAATAATGAATTTAAAATCCACAACAAAAATTACTTTCAAACATACAGAATTGAATTTAAAATCACAGCATTAAAAAAAAATTGATTCTAATTTGCAACTCAATCAGATGAACCCTAATCTAATTTGGTACAATATTAGTGTTTGACATGTTTCAAAATGCATTACAGCATATGAATGTTAATAGAGTGGTCTTGAAGCTGGTTTAGAATTCTGGCGCAGCTCAGCCCTTGGCTTAGCCACTTCCACGAAAATAACTCTGCCATCAAGAAACTGCAAACAAATGAAAAAGAAAGAAGAATAAGAAAACATACCGAGCACAATTTGAAAGTTGAACTGATATATCTATATACACGTGTGTGCGCGCGCGTGCGTGCAACTCCTGTCGTGACTATTTAGTTGGCAGAGTTTGTAAGACAAATACTAAATTCATATTAGCAACTTCATCCAATTCGTGAGTATTTGATGAAAATCTACATGTTTATTCTCATAAAAAGCATCACATTAGGATACTTGTGATGGTGGCCAAGAGAGTATATTTGCTATTTCCTACCAACTATTAGGTTTATCAATATGGCATTGTTTGGTACTTGTGCAAATCAAATTTAATTCGGGTGCTACTTACAATTGTGGTGAGATCAAAGGCTCAATTCATCAAAGCCGAATTCTTCAAACTGGAAAAATTAATGTGGGATGGTTATGCAAGACAGTAGTAGCAATCCATCCTCTGTTGTTTTGGGACGATAGCATATTACATGTGTTGCAGCTTGTTCCTGCAGGTACATAATTTAAAAGTAGGGGCATTTACATTTTTATCTACCAGTACTTATGTATTTACATATCTAACGCCTGAACTTTTCTTTTTGCATTTATACCATCCATATCTTTTAGATCACGTAAAAAATACCACTATTTTAACTTCTAAAAAGTGAAGCACACTTTTCAAGCATAGGTAAGGCAGCATATATATAAAAATTGAAGTTAGGTGTTAGATATGTAATAACATAAGAATTGAGTGGTATGTACTTAAATCTTCCTTAAAAGTATTGGTTGAAAGTTTTCTTAAATAGATTGTGATAATCCGGTGCCGACCATATCGACTAATCTAGTGATGGAAGTCTGTCAATAAATGTTCCAGGGCATGTTTCTTTTTCTAGTTTTCTATGTTGTCAACATAGATGAGACGTTCGTTTCATTCGAATGCACTACAAATATAACTCCCAAATTTTGAGAAAGTCATCTCCTTGTACCAGATGAAGCATGGATTTTCGACACTGGTGAATTCTTTGTTAACCTGAATTTCTCTTTAGTTTCTTTGAATTTATTCAAACATAACCTTATAATCTAAAGAAAGTGAGTTGTTGGCTTATTTAGTGTTGTAATTTGCAAATCCTTTAATTTCCTTGCATGATCTAATACATTACACATAAAAATTGCATTAGGGAGCCTTAACAATACATCATCTTTACATTATTTTATGCTATATTTAGTGCAAGCTTGAAATCTATTTCAAAACTTCACTCAATTAAGATACCATGACAAGGTTGCCAATTCTCAATAATTGTTGTTAACGAAGTAGTGCACTTGAACAATTATGCAAAACCATTCACTCAATATATGGTAGATATATAAACAAAAAAATTCAAAACTACAAAACACCAAATTGCTGATTATATGTACCACTCAATTTACCTTCCCATGCATCCCTTCAATAGCCTTCTTGGATTCCTCCTCTGTGGCATAACGAAGAAAAGCAAAGCCTCTTGGTCTGTTGGCAATCCGGTCCATAACAAGGTTCACTGTATTAAGATATGTCAAAAGATAAGTTTCCGAATGCAACATTAATTTAATTAACAACCTACGAAAGTAGTAAAATAGCTCTAAATCAGAAGAAATTCCACAAACTACTTGCCTAACCTTCTAAAAGCTCCCCAAAATTTTGGAAAGCACCCCTTAGACTTTCTTCAGTGGTACGAAAAGAAAGACCTGAAACAAAAACAAAATAAGAAGAATAAAGCCTCATTTGCTGTGTTGTCATAATATAACCCTAAATTTTAAAAAATCAACTACTCATATTGATTTAGTTGAATCGACAGATTCCAATTAAGTTGAAATAAAACAGGAATTTTAGTTCTGCAGGAATTGCTGAAACAAGAATTTTATTTTTGTGGACTTGTCTTTTGTGAATCTTAGCACATTACCAGATTTTAAAAGTTATGAAGAGAATTATTTATTTTGGGTCTTAAGTTATGAAGAGAATTATTTATTTTGGGTCTTTAGTAGGCTATAAATAAGACCCCTGAAACATGTAAAAGATCACTGAACATTGAATAATGAAATAAAATATCAGTTTTTAATTTTGGAGTGTTTTATTTGATGTGGACTCTTTATTGCACTCTACAAGTTTTAATGAGGACTGCGGGGGAGAAAAAATTTTGTACCGACGTGAGGCCTAGATCTTGTGACAGCTTGAACTCCACCCATCAAAGTATTATTGTCCGCCTTTGCCTAATGGCCACACAGTTTTGCCCCATTGGTGTAACTTCACAAAATGTCACCCATCCTAAGAGTGCTCCAGCACGAACACGCTTAACTTGGGAGTTTCTATTGAATTCCATAGTTATATCAAAAAGTGTCTCGATGTCTAGCTTCAATCTACTTAAAGGGTTTCACAATCTTCCTCACTTAAGTACTTGACATCTTGGTCAATGCTCTATAACAAGAATTATGTACCAGGCAGATAGGATTCTAGAGGTGGCCACTACAGATTTAAGAGGTGACTCCCACCATATAGCACTTTGTCCCATCCAGAGTTCAAGATGTGGCTCCCATAGCATAACACTTTATTCTGTATGACACTTGGTTCCCATCTTTCGGCTATTGTAATACTCTGACACCATTTGTGACAGTTCAAACTCATCCATCAAAGTATTATCCGCTTAGGCCAAATAGCCTCATTGTTATGCCTTGTTTGTGTAACTTCTCAGAAGGTCACCCATCCTAGGAGTGCTCCAGAACGACTACGTTTAACTTTGGAGTTTCTAAAGAAACTCCATTGTTACACCAAATATCGTCTTGATGTTTAAGAATTTGGTTTCGATCTACTTAAGGTTTCACAGATCTCACACTCCTTCTTTTACCAACTTTTTGTGTGATTGAATCTTTGCCAAATTTGATGCGTGTTAGTTTCATTTTGGTATAAATCTTAATTGATAATAGCTTAAATGGGTTTTCAGATTTCTTTTATAATTTCAAATTTTGACAACCCTTAAATTTAATTTGGAATGAATAAAGTATATTTTTTATTTCCACCAAAGGTGATTAATCTTTGCTAAAGTTTTTAAAAAATTTATTTATAATTATAATTTATTTTTTCATTCCAAACTTGCATTAGAGAAAATTAGGCCCTCTGGCATCCCAATACAAGAGCTTAATGAAATGAGTTTGACTGTCAAAACAACTCATTGTTCGCAAACAACTCATGTTCGGCTCGTTCGCTAAGTTAACAAGCCGAACACGAATAAAGATTTGTTCGTTCGTGTTCGGCTCGTTTTGACTCGAAATACTACTCATCAATTATTTATATATATATATATATATATATATATTGATGAATATTAGTTTTAAAAAAATTAATTGACTACAAGGTCGCAAAGAATTATAATCAATTAAAAGCATTAATTAAAAAAAATAGAGTAAAATTTATTAAATTAGATTCAAATGATGTTTTAATATAAACAATAATTTTTAAATCTTGCTCCAACCCTTAACATCTTATGGCTACATGATTAGGGTCGTTAAAATGACTCTTTGTTCGTAAATAGCTCGTGTTTGGCTAGCCAAACAAACGAGCCAAACACGAACATACTTTTTGAGCTCGAAATATAAATGAGCCGAACAGGAGTTAGAGCATGGGCTCGCTCGTGTTTGGCTCGTTTACACCCCTAGAAATGAGTACACACCACTTAAAGATTCTTGGATCGAAAATAATGAGGTAAAGTAAAAAATTTAGATACAAATTACCTTTCATTTCTTTCAAAATTGATGAAATAAAATTGTATTATGTTTATATGTTTTTACAAATTTGCAATAAAATAAATGTGAAAAGAATTTTGTTTAATGTTGCACGAATATATAGCACACCATACAACCCCTTAACGAAAGTCTACTATGAAGGCCAGACTTTGAAATCCTTAAGCTACGAAACTGTTATGGAAAGTAATAATTCTGAACCGTGTATAATATGAAGCATGTATTTAGAAAACTTGATATTAGACAACCTAATTAGAGAATCTTTTATTAATTAGAGATATTCCTAATCTATAGAATTGGGAGTGTGTATAAATATATAATATATATTTTTAATTGGGAATAAGATAAAAAAGTAAGCTTTTCTTCATATGGTATCAAAGCATCGTCAAATAGCTTCATCTAAGATTGCTTCATTCGATCAACCCAAGAGACATCATCTGCTTTGAAACAGACGACGCCTTAAGCTTCGTCGTCAGCATCCCTAAACGTCTACGACTATGCAATCTAAAACGCTTGACATCATCATTCGGTTCTTCGATTTCGTTCAAAGGTATCATCTGCCTCAAACAACGTCGTAACCTTCTTCCTATGTGTCTACATCACTTTGTCCGCACTATAGTCATTGTTCGGTTCCTCGATTCCATTTGAAGGCTTTGTCTGCTTCGAACAATGTCTGCGACAACATCGACTGCTTGCTTCGTTCGAAGGTTTTGTTCAAAGGCTTCGTCTGTATCTGCTTTGTCCGCCAACTATGTTGACGAGATTAGGTCATCAACGAAGCTCTTTGGTTTTTTGCTTTGCCCTCCATCTACTTAGGTCGTTTGCTATGTTGAACTTCTTTGACTTTGTTGGTTCAATTTTTTTCTTTTTTCTTTATTCAATAATCGGTGAACTATTGGTCATCAAGTTATTTGTCTACTAGTGCTTTGGCCGCTTCTTCGACTAGTCCTTCAGCACTGGATGACATTGATTATAGTTGATGAATATAAACATTTTGTAACAAGTTTGGTTTCATTAGTGACAAAAATTTAATTAAAAAGTTAAATGACATCTATTATTTTTACTAGAATAAACTTGTGAGACCTATTTAAGAAGTATTTCTCAAGAGAGTCCCTTCATTGATAATCCCTGAGCTGAGACTGAGTTGAATTATTCGAAGTAAACGAGAGTGAATGCCCAACTATTGATACAAATACAAAATTCTACCAAAACTAATTAATCTGATCATATTACTCATTGCAACTTTGTTAAAGATGCAATGGAGGAATTAGAATTTTTGTTTTCTATGAGAAAAAAATATTTCTCGAATCTTTGAAGTATGCAAGGAATCATATCAAACCGAACAACAACATCAACCACTTAACACGTACACATGCAACTTAAATGTGTGTATGAAGAATTAAACACACTATTGCCTTTCAGTACCGATGTCCGGATTCAACAGGTTCAAATAGGGAAAATAGCTATTATTCTAACTGGCCTCAACTGCCAATGTGAATGTGACAAATCACACATCTGATCTTATCCTGAATGTACAACTCTGAGGGAAGATCATACTACAATACCGTGTAAGATTGCAAGTTACAAGCCTCATTCATACGACAACCTAGTGCTTCTACTAGTCAGAAGAAAGAAAACATCAGTAAACCTCAGTCTCAGGACAATTATAAAAGTGAAATTCCAAATTCTAGACATCAATGTTAGAAGGTAGTGGGCTATTACAGTCATAAACTTATTCATACGAAGAGCACATGTCAGAAGTTGCTCAAAAATAACATGAGTGTTGTAAATCATAGTCAGCTCACATGAGCGCTAATATTGAAGCCTTTCTGAGTCAGACTCTCTCGATCTCTACATATAAATATAGTAAGTTCATCAACTTTCAGGAAGGATGCAAAAAATCGTCCTCTATCACTGCCTTTGCTAAGTTGGGTAACAATGATACTTTTTTTTCCCTTTTCCACACAACAGATCATTGATTTTGGAGCCACAAATCACATGACAAATAATCCAAAACTCTTTTTTATCTTTCATAAGTACCTTTATTCCATCGCTTTAACAAATAGATCTACCTCGAATACTCTTAGTTCTTACACCATCAATGTTACACTCACATTGCCTCTAACTATTGTTCTTAGTTTACCTTAATTTACTTTTAATCTTGTTTTTGATGGCAAAATTACATGTGTTAATAATTATTATATCTTATTCTTTCCCGACCATTATCTATTTAAAGATCTTATTCCGAAGAAGATTATTGGTAAAAGACGAGAATCAAGGGTGCTATATGTAGTGGATAAAGAGGTACCTCGACCTATAGTATATTCCAACACCATTCTCCTTCTGAGATTCATTGTCGATCAGGACATTCATCACTATAAATGTTGAAAAAGTTGTACCCTTCATTTTAGTAATTATCATTTTTGCATAATAAGTCATATCAATTTGCTATACAACATCATTTGTATTATGCTCTCGGACTTAATAAAAGAATAAGTTATAGCTTTGAGTTGGTTCATTCTGATGTTTGGGGAACTTGTCCAATTTTATCTAAAGGATTTTGATATTTAGTAAATTTCGTAGATAATTTTTCTCGTATGACTTGGCTCTACTTTATGAAATCTATTACTAAGTTACCATCGCACTTTAAATCTTTTTGTACTAAAATTAAAACAAAATTCAATATTTTGGTTAAGATTCTGAGAAAGTGACGCGTCATTTCAGACGTACATAACACAAAATAAGATGCTTCACCAGCCATCCTGTATCGATACTCCATGCTAAAATGAAGTAGCTGAAAGGAAGAAAATAGACATTTGTGATTGCTAGAGCCCTTTTATTTCAAATGAATGTGACTAAACAATTCTGGATTCATGCAATCTCTACTGCATTTTTTTATCAATTAAATGTATTTTACTTTCTACAGAAACAGACAACCTACCAAGTTTTGTTTC